AAATCCATATTTGCAAAGACATGAGCATGATTGTGTTGAGTATATGGTGCAAAAAGGGACACAATAGTGATGGCATATGCATATATGATATTAATACATGAACTAAAAGTATGCAGACTGATTTTGATGTTCATATTTTGAACTCAGAAATTTATATTTTGAATTTTAAAAAATAGCCACAGAGAGGGAAAGGGGGAACCAAAATTTACACATGAATCATCTCATACAGAATAAAAAGTTGACTTGAGATTCTGAAATCAAACTCCTACCATAAATAACTAGTTTCATTCCTCTGTATCGATACATTACTAACAGAACGGAAGCTCATTACGATTTCTCAGCCTCTGCAGCTGCCTTTTCCTCTTGTAACTTCTTCAGTGAAGGAGGTGGCCTCACAACAATGCTTCTCTTCCACTCCTTGTCAAGCTTCCTTGATAACCTCTTACCCACTCCTTGCTCTATCTCCCGTTCCCTCTTCACGGTAAGCATGCGTGCAACCTAGTGTTGTAGAAATGATTAATTAACATTACATATAGGCCACGGTTCAATGTAAGTTCAACAAACTATTTTCCAGTAGAAAGAACATATATTTTTAAATGCAGAAGTTATGCTTCATATCGACAACAGCAAAGCAATGTACTCAGTAAATTTTCACTCAGGACGATATTAGGAAACTAGTTACAAGAATAGAGTGAGAGACTGGGTAACAAACTAATATGTGAAGTTGTGAACTGTGAATGGCTCCAATACTAAAGTTTTTTTCCCAGCAAATTAACACCTATAAATTTATCTTTAATTCTTCAAATGATAAGTACACCAGAATTACAGTACAATAGGTTTTCAGCGCCACACTAAATCCATATCCATCAGAACTGAATCTGAACATAATGCACAATCTTCAGCAAGCAGTCCTTTTACTCAATTTCAGCATTAATACCCATAAAATCATCTTCAAGACAGTGAGGAAAGATTGCCATGACCCCACTAGGTGACATGCCAGTCTTAGAGTCATAACTCGGTAATTTTACAGCTCCAAAACACTTTCGAGTAAATTCCAATGACATCTTAGCAGCCCAAAAGTCCAGCAACCAAATCAGACATGAGAATCATGCAGTTACTAAGACCTCAATACGACCACTCATCTTGTTTGGTTAGCCCTTAGACCTATACTACTATATTGTGTAAGAATGATTGTGCAAAAGTTTCCTTTCCTGATAACCATTCTATAACAGATAAAACAACTAATACAACAAGGATTTCAGATTCAGAAAAGTGCTTAAGCCTATACTTACCAGTTACCTGTATAAGTCTCAAATGTGAATATTATCAATTTTCATCACAAATTACCAACAAACACCGCAATTCAAATATGAATTCGCAAAACCCTTGGCCTAGAAGACCAGGACTTCATGTTAATTTTTAAACCATTGAACAAAAGACAAGACAGTCAAAGTTTATCAATAGCAATTAAGTAATTTTATCAGTATTATGATATTACCACAATGTTAGTATCAAACTTTCTATCTACTTCTAGCATTAATAGTCATCTCGATAGCATAATTTGAACTAGTAATGCGACAATTAAACAGAACAATAAGAAGCATCAAACAAAACATATCAGCATTCACCTAATTAACTTATGAAAACACCATTCCAATCACTTAACAAAAACCCAACAAACTTCAAAATTTCCCATCATTCTTAAACACAAATTAAAGACAACCCATTAATCCAAATCATAAAAATAAAAAGAAACAACCAAATTAACAACACAGAATGGAGTAATAAAAGTTACCCTTTTGCGCATTCGACCAAAATCACTGGGCTTGAAATTCTCACGAGCAGACCGTTGAAGTCGGAGCATAAAGAGTTCACCTTTAAGCTGAAGAATCTCTTCATTGAGTTCTTCATTGGATTTGGCCCTTAACTCCTTCAATTCCTCCTCTCTCTTTGCCATCATAACCACCGTAGACGACGGCGATGCCTGTGCTCGGAGGCGGAGGGATGAAGATGGGTTAATGGAAGGAAGACGAAGGCCATGAAATGAAGATTTTGCAAGAAGTGCAGATTTTGGGGGAATTGTAAGAGCAGAAGATGAAGGGGTTGAGGAGAGAGAGTGGCTTGCCAACATTTTTGGGTGCTTCTTTAGCTCTGCTCTGCTTTGCTTTCAATTTGGGAGTTCTTCCTCTTGTACTGAATTTCAAAGATAAGGTTTTTTTGTTTATCCTTTTTTTTTTCTTTTCTTTTTTTTTTTCAATCCCTTTGCTCACATAGTCACATATTTGTAGGGGATGAGTAAAATATTTTCTTTGTCCAAAAATTACACCTAAAATACATGATTAGCTTTCGATCAATAAGTTACAAATTTACAATATGTTTTTTCTCATAACTAGCGGTATGGATGCTACGAAATATAAAAAAAGTATTGTGTAAATTTAAAATTTCTAATCCTCTTATAATAAGGTAGGGAAAATAGTAAAAATCCATTCACATATTGAATGGGTTAAATGGGAGAGGGTTATTCCATATAGCTTGTACAATGGTGGTAGATGATTTTCTTCGATACTAATGTACTCTTGAAATATGCATTATGTAATTTTATGTAGAAACTGGTTATGTATATCTAACTTTTATCACAAAAATAAATTTAATGTATGAAGTTTTATATATTATTAGTTTTTTGTAAGCTGGAGGAGAACTTTAGATGTCAATAGTGGAATAGTGGAAAGATGATGAACTAAGGTATTGCTTAACAAATTAATTGCACAATAACCTAATTTGTTACTTTTACTAAACATCCAACATGGGAATAATTAGAGGTAGGGGTGTTCATAAATCGGTCCAGACCGAAAAAATGGACCGGACCATCCCGGACCGGATTTTGGACCGGACCGATTTTTTTATTAAAAATATGTGTGAAACCTTAAATAATGGTTAAAATTATCCTTAATAAGCTTAGTAAACTTTAACTTTATAAGTTTTTTTGCACTAAACATACAAAAAAAGAGGTAAAAATGATGTTACAATATATTTTTTCCAATACTTTTTTTTGTTTTTTCCTTAACTTTATTTAAAATTTAGTATTCTTTTTAAAAATATTCTTAAATTGGTCCAAAGCGGTCCGGTTCGGTCCGGGTTTTGGACCGATTCTTTTGGTCTGGTCCGGGTTCGTTCCTAACTTAATCGGTCCGGTCTTCGGTTCTTAAAATTCTAATTTTCGATCTTCGGTCCAATCCGGGTCGGTCCGGTCCGGTACGGTATAGGACCGATGAACAGCCCTAATTAGAGGTGATCATTAGGCGGACCAGACTAATAAACGAAAAATAAAGAATATCAATAGCCAATAAAGGATATAATTCATCCAATAAAGGATATCATATATCACTCAGCAAATATAAGATATCATATAGTCAATAAAGGATATCATCCAGCGAATAGAGGATATCCGAATAGAGGATATCAAAATCCGTATTTCGTCAGTCCGAACTGACACAATACTTTCTCTTTAAAAAAAAAGGATGTCATTATAAGAAATGATGCAAAGTTTTGTTGGAGGTTGATGCAAGAAATGTGTTCAAGATGTTGTTACAAACTCTAATAGAGGTCATTCTCCCATTTTTCATTTTGAACTTCGTATGATGATATTTGTAATTTATCTTGTTATTGACTCTTATCTGGAGTCCCATGTGAAAAAAGGGTGGAAATATCGTGGCTCACTCAATTGCTAGGTGGGACACAACGGATAATGATGAACTAGTTTAAATTTATTTGTTCCCCAAAGTATCACTTTCTTTTTTTGAAACATCCAAAAGTATCACTTTGTTGAGGGAGCCCCCATTCATCTTCATGATAAACAAAATTTGTTTATCTAATGACATTTTCGTAAATATATCAATAATTCACTCCAGTCAGCATACATTTTTGTGAATAAGTTAACAACTGTTATTAATATGCGGGTCCCACAAATATTAACTTATTTACGAGAATGTCATGCTGACTGGGTTTTTTTTATTAATTTATTAATATGCGGGTCCCACAAATATTAACTTATTTGTTTATCATCAAGATTAAGGGCCTGTTCTCTTCCGTTGAAATTCAGTTCAGTTCAGTTCAACTCAGCTCAGTTCAGTTCAGTTCAGCTCTTAATTTACATCTAATGATATTGCTAATGATATAAATCCAAATTTCATTCTTTTAAGCTCTTATTACAACAGCAACGACAACAACAACAACAACAACAACAACAACAACAACAACAACAACAACAATAATAATAATAATAATATTAACAATAATAATAATAATAATAATAATCAATAAGTAATAAATAATGATAATCATCAATAAATAATAATAATAATAATAATAATAATAATAACAATAATAATTGAAATAATAATACTAATAATAATAATCAATAAATAATAATAATAATCATCAATAAATAATAATAATAATAACAACAATAATAATAATACTAATAATAATAATCAATAAATAATAATAATAATCAATAATTAATAATAATAATAATATTAATATTAATAATAATATGTACATTTGTATATACACATATGTACAGTAATAAATAATCAATAAATAATCAAAGATCACTAATCCGTAGTTTAAAATCACTAATTAATAAGTTCAGTTCAGTTCACTTCAGTTCAGTTCAGTTCAGCTGAGTTCAGTCAATCGGAACAGACCCTAACTTGTATTTTCTCTACTTTGGAGTTGGATCATGATTTGCAATAATATTCTCACTCCTCTTGTCTCAAAAGTAAGTACTTCGTATAAGATATGCTTTAGTTTATACGATTTTTTTTTTTTTTCAAAAATATGTATACGAAGAAGTACCTAATAAACTACATAATCAAGTTGAAACCTAATATAAAATGAGACTCTCATGTAATTAAATTAGACTCTATAGCAGGGATTGAAAATAAAATAAATCAAAATTTTATTTATTTAATGTTTTATTTGAAGACAAATAAACTAATTCTTTATTACCAACTCTATTTCTAGAGTTTCTCCAAAAATAATTGTTTCTAGAGGACCATTCAAAAAAAAAAAAAAATATTAAATTAGGAAAATATTTAAAGAGAAAGAGAGGTCGTGCCGTGGTACCAATGGTTTTAGACTTCCAGTTTTCACTACTTGAGTGCACAACCATAGGCCATAGGAATATATAGACTTCTTTTAATACTCGTAATAATACGGAGTATTCGGAAGACTCTTAACTGAATCCCCAAAAAAAAAAAAAAAAAAAAAAAAAAAAAAAAAAAAATTAACGGGATGAGATCTGCAAACTTCATTGTATTTTCATCGTCATTTGCCCAAATCAAAGTTCTAAAGAATTCTTCTCTGTCTAAAAAAACCTAACAACCAATCCTTGGTTTTGTTTTTAAAAAAAAAAATATAAAAAAAAAAATCAGTTTTTTTATTTGGGTTTCGAAGAAAATTTCATATTCCCCTCCAAAAAGTGAACCAATTACCGGCATCTGGAAAATCCCAGAAAAGGCAAACAGGGCCCTGAATTGAGGAGAGAGAAAGAAGGGTTTGTTGTTGAATGAAGAGGTGATGTGATGGGTGCTGCGGGTTCGAAGCTTGAGAAAGCTCTTGGTGAACAATTTCCTGAGGGTGAACGTTATTTCGGCCTCGAGAATTTTGGCAACACTTGTTATTGTAACAGTGTTTTACAGGTTTGGGATTTCTTCTGTTTTTTAAATCTATTGAATTCAATTTCTTGATTTGAAATTATGTAAATTTCCTGTTTTTATGATATGGGTTTGTGAATTTTGGATGTGGGTATCTTGTATTTTATCTCAATTTTTGTGGGATTATAGAAGATTTGAATTTTTTCATACTGGATTTTGTTTGAGGATGGTTGGTTATTAGGTTGATTCAATTTAGGCTGTAAAGGATTGTAATATTGAATTCCCCGTATTAAGAAGGATGTTTGAGAAGCACATGAGTGAAGTTTTAGGGTGGGGAACAGAGGGGATGGTAGAATGCTGGGTTGTATTGGATTTTTAATGCTAAGATAAGATCTGTGCAACATTTAGGTTCATTGACTTTTATTGTTTCTTAATTGTGGATTAGGGCTAATGAGTGTTTTTGAATACATGGGATGTTACCTCCTGTGTAAGCAGCCAATTTGAATTCCTCAGATTCATTGTGATTTGGTCAAAATTATTATGAAATAAAAAAAAACTTTCACAGTTCCATTTCCATCCAAATGTGGTTGTCACATACTCACATTACTACTAATTTCAAACAGATTTAAATGACTTTGGTACTTCGTTAAATTTTACTTGTTATTGGTAGCGAATATGGTAAAGGGAGTAGAATTCCACATGTAAGTGAGTTCTCTTAGGCGGATATAAAACACTTAGGTGTTATAGATAGGTTGTGTTATATTACAATATGACATCATACATGTCCAAGACAAAAAGCACATAAAAGTAGGAAAATTACGAGTGAAAATCTTAAGATGATGTACATATTACATACATTTGAAGCTTGTATTTTTATATCAGTTTGATATTATAATGCTGGGAACGAAACTGAATTTAATATGTAGCCATCAACGCCTAAGCCAAAACATCTAAGATCACACATGTTTCACATGTCAATGATATGCTGCATTTATGACAAAGACGAGCAGATCAGCTTATCCATAATCAGTTCTCACTTATCAGTTATATCTCTAACACATTGTTTGGATTGAGAGAATTGGAGGGTAAGGAAGAGAAGAGAAAAGAAGGGATTCATCCTCCCTTCTTTGGATACCTTTTGTTAGGAGGGAAGGGAAGGGTAATGGAAAGATTCATTTTCCTTCCCTCTTTAAAAAACCAAATCCTTCCAATGTTTGAATGTTGGAAAGATTTGAAGGGAAAATGTAACCTTACCTTCTCCCTCCCCTTCCATTCCTCCTCCTTCCCTTTCTGTTCCGCTTTGCTAGTTAAACAAACGCTAGAGTGTACTTATACATATTAACAGTCTTGTTATCCTGATAGAATTTTGGTGAAATCAATACTGTGTTCTGTATTGTTTTATTGTTCTGTTGAGGGGTCCTTTCTATGAAATATGCCCTTTTTTTTTTTCAGGGGACAGTATCAATGAATCTGTATACTTAATGAGGAAAGTACCTGTCTGAATAGTGAAGACTGTTAAGTTCATTATTCCAGCACTTTGTGTGATGTTGTCAGAATCACCTTTTTTAAATACTCCCTTTGTCCCCTAATACAAAGCCTTATTTTTGGGTAAACCAAAATACAATGCCTCTTTCTAATTAAAGGATGTATTTTTTGACATTATTACCCTCTTGTTGATGAGTTGTCATATTTTTTCCTTTACTTTTTTTTTTTTTTTTTTTTTTTTTTTTGTACTTTTAACATCAATTTCCAACACTTTCTCTCTCTATCTCTTCAATTATTCCCAACTACTTTTTCTTTCTCTCTATCTCGCTCTAAGCCTTTTACCCCACATATGTACTTTTAACCATTAGTTTTAAAGAATTTACAAATTTCTTAATTCCCGCGCAAAAACCAAAAGAGGCTTTGTATTAGGGGATGGAGGGAGTATCTTCTTGGTCTTTCAGCTCTTGTTTTCTTGGATAATGGAAAATATGTTTATGCTAGTTTACTTAGTACTTTATGCCAAGGTCTACTGTTTAGAACTCAAATTGCCATGGCACAAATTTTGTTGGTGTTGATGGTTTCGACTGAATCAACACACCCCGTACGAAATAGTCTCATTTTTTTATTAAGTTGATTGAGTTAAAGGCTAATGATTGGACAATTTCAGATCTTAGCTTGGGATTTAAGTACTATATTAGTTTGAGCTCTGGTTCGGGATGCTTTAGAATGATTGCCAGCTTATTTGTGTTTTTTTATCCGGCATTTGCAGGCACTTTATTTTTGTGTTCCATTTCGAGAACAGTTGTTAGAATACTTCGCAAATAGCAGCAAAACTGTTGATGCAGAGGAAAATTGCCTGACATGCTTGGCCGACCTCTTTTCTCAGGTAAACACTATAGATGTCTCTTTTGCTTCCTTTTTTTGTCTGGGGATGGGATGCTTTCTATGAACAACATCATTTCTTTTGTTGTAGTACACTTCAGTTTTATGTTCTCTGTTTGTTTCAAGATTGTTTCCTGTAGCTAAAATGGAGTTAAGTCTTTTGAATGCTCACAAATGAGTGAATGACAATTCCTTTTCTATATGCTTCCATTATTATTCTTCTTTTTTCCATTACTACTAATATCACAACTTTTTGATGAAGCTCTCCTCAAATTATTATCTTACGCTTGCTTTCTGTATAACAACAACATTTACCAAATCATGAGCAGTTGTGACAATATACAAGAATTAATTTTACTCTCTGGAAAGCAAGCTGGCCTGTTTAATGAATTTGCCCATTATAATTCTCTGGCATACGGATGGTGTCTTTCTATAGGAGTCGAAATTGCTAGCTTTCATGTTTCTCACACAAAAAACACCTCCCATTGCTAGCTATGTACATGTATTTGATTTTCATTTTAGCTTTTGAGAACCACTAACAGCAATTCTTTGTATTATAGATAAGTTCGCAAAAGAAGAAAACAGGGGTCATAGCTCCAAAGCGCTTTGTCCAGAGGTTGAAAAGGCGGAATGAGCTTTATCGCAGCTACATGCATCAGGTACCCCCTCCCCCCTCCCCCCTCCCCCCCCCCCTTTTTTTTTTCCCCCTTTCATATGTGCTGTAATTACTTCATGCTCCAGAATCATTATTTGTCTCATATTACATGCTGATTGTTGAATGAGCTAGCTGAAAGATGGTATTGAGAGTGATATACAATTAATTAGCTGAATGCTTGGTCTAGGAGTGTGTTTGGAATCTATCTACTGTTTAATATAATCAGACACATTTCTATGTACAATCAGTTGTCATTGAGATCCTTTTTCTTGCTTCAGTGTCTCTAGAAAAACTTTCCACTCATTTGTTGCTATAGTAATATATGAAAAAGAATTTCCGTCATTTGATATTTGTTTATCTGCATAGGATGCCCATGAATTCTTGAACTTTTTGCTAAATGAACTCGTTGACATACTGGAGAAAGAAGCTCAGACAGAAGCTGAGAAAGAACCTGTGATAGAAGCTGGGAAAGAAGCTCAGGCTACAAAAATTGACCAAGCAACTTTATCATCTGAAAAAGTTGCAAATGGACCAAAAAATGCTCAGGCTTCTGCCTCTCAGAGAGAACCTTTAGTTACCTGGGTACACAAAAATTTTCAGGTACATTGATAGAATGATAGATAGTGCACATTACTATATTACATCATGCTTTGAGTAAGGTTTTAGGGTTTTTTTTTTTTTTTTTTTTTTTTTCATTTTTTAATAGAAGTTTTATGATTAAATCAGAAAGTATATCCAAAGAGATTGAGGAGACATCTCTGCTAGATTACTTGCAAATTACACCAACTACATTCAACTAAAGGCATTATATTATTTCTAAGTTATTTCATATGGCTTTCCAAACTCTGTTTTTTTCTGCTTTCTTTCCTTCTTTCGTTGCTATACTGTTATGGAACGGGTCAATAAGGTCAACAGAGCTATCGGACCAATTCAACCACCACTTTTGGTGTACTCCAGGCGCGCAAAACAGGGGCAGCAGCAAGGGTCAATTGTGAGAAGGAACAATGAACAACAGGACAAGGCCAATTAAGGGGAAGTTGAGGAAAGAAGGCAGCCTCCTTTAATCATAACCTTTGTGGGTTTCTATTTTAGTTAATTAATGTCACATGTTCTAGTTAAGTCTTGAGTATATGTATTGTAGTTAGGGAGCAGTAGAGACCATCCAGAAATTAGTGAAAACACATGAGAGACTTGTGGCCTAAAGCTACTGTGAGATTCATAACCTCAAGTTATGCCTATCCCTTGTAATTCAATCATCAGTGAATCAAATACTCAAGTTTAAGCCTTGGTTCTTGCAAATTGTCTTAAATTATAATTGCAGTAAGTTAGTCTATTACAAACTTGGTATCAGAGCGGTGGTCTTGCGGCCGTGGTCACCGGAATCCACCACCCCCCTTTTTTTTTTTAAAAAAAAAGAGAGAGATGGAAAACAGCACCTCGCAGAGGGTGGACGCCTTGGAGGGAACGCTGGCAGACCTGAAAGCCCAGATGGCTACCATCGTGGAGAAACTACAAACCTCAGACGACAACCTGTCGCGAGCAGTAACAGCAGCCGTAAGGGCTGCCATGGAGGAGGAGAGACAAAAAAATCGCGGAGGAAAGGAAGAAAACCGAGGAGATAGTAACAACCGCCGTTGATAAGGTGGAGGAACGTTTAATTCGCTTCCGATCCACGGTCGATACACAAGCCGCAATCGATCGCCAGAAGATCACCAAATTGCAGGAGGAACTGGAGAAAATGAGGCAACCTCAAGCACAAGGAATTCAGCAACCTATTCCGGTGGTGGAAGAGAACAGCCCGCGATTGGGTGGGGGGAATAACCTCACGCCAGGTAGAGAGAAGCCGTACGAAGAGCAAGACTGACCGCACTTTGAACAAGGGAATTGGCGCTGGAGAGGAGCCGGAGAGGGCGGCGGCGGTGGCGGAGGCGGTCACTGGAAGCACCGGAAGTTGGAGATGCCACTCTTCGACGGGTTAGACCCCGATAATTGGACGGCGAGGGCCGAAATGTACTTTGATTTTTACAAATTGACGGAGAAGGAAAAGATGGAGGTGGTGGTAGTGGCGATGGATGGAGCCGCTCTGAAATGGTTCCAGTGGGAGCAAAAGCGGCAGCCTTTTTATGGGTGGCTGGACCTCAAGCAGAGGGCCTTGAGCGAATTCCGACCTTCCCATTCGGGAACGCTCCACGAACAGTGGCTGGCGGTGACGCAAGAAGGGTCAGGGTCGGTGGCAGAATATCGTCGGAAATTCATTGAGATGGCGGCGCCGCTAGAGGATGTGCCGGAGAGTATCATGTTAGGGCAATTCATCCACGGATTGAACAAGGAAGTGAAATCGGAGCTGAGATTCCTCAACCGCCTAACCTTGAAAGAGCCATGGAAATGGCAGGAAGAATAGAAGAGAAGAATCGGGTTCGGAAAGAAGCCATTAAGTAATTGGAGAGGTGGGTCAACGGCTCTGGCCCAATACAAGGCAACCCAACCTTCAGTAAAGGAGGCCTCATAGCTTCCTACGGGCTGCCCAGCAGCAGTGGGCCGCCCAAACCCTGGCCCAAGGCTCCTGAGTCCCAAGGGTCCGTGAATTTGGGCCGGGCCACGTCGGGCCCAAGTCAAAGTGTTTCCGGGGTTACGAGGAGGTTGACCGAGAGTGAGTTAGCGGAAAGGAGGGCAAAAGGGTTGTGCTTTAAGTGTGATGAAAGGTGGGGTGTAGGGCATCGTTGTAAGAGAAAGGAGCTTAGTGTGTTGTTAGTCGCGGAGGGTGAAGTCGAGTTGGAGGATGAAGGGCCGGAGTTGGGAAGTGACACCCCGTCGGAAGAGGTTGGAGGCATGTCGTTGTGCTCGGTGATCGGGATACACAACCCAAAAACGATGAAGTTGAGGGGAGTAGTAAAAGGGCAAGAAGTAGTGGTGATGATTGATCCCGGGGCTACTCATAATTTTTTAGCTATTTCGGTAGTAGAGCAAGCGGCCATACCCATCTCACAAGGTGGGGAATTTGCGTTATCCTTAGGAAACGGGGATACAATTCGTGGTAGAGGAGTGTGTAAGGGAGTCAAGGTGGAATTGAGGGGAGGTATCACCGTTATTGAGGATTTTTTTCCTCTCACTTTAGGGAGTGCCGAGGTAATTTTAGGAGTTCAATGGCTCGAGAAGTTAGGTCCGGTGGTGACTAATTGGCGTACTCACATCATGAAGTTCAACATCGGAGGTGTGTCGGTGACCCTTACCGGAGATCCTACTCTCGAAAAGACCCAAGTTTCGTTAAAGGCCATGGTGAGGGTGCTTAAAAAAGAGAAGTTAGGCCTTTGGGTCGAATTCAATCAAGCTGAAACACAAGAGATGGGCCCAACTGAAGTTAGCCCACCTTCTTACTTGATGAATGTCTTTGGCCAATTTAAAGGGGTCTTCAATATGCCTAATGGGCTGCCACCAGAAAGGGGCCATGAGCATTCCATTGTTCTTAAAGATGGGGCCGACCCAATTAGTGTGAGGCCATATAGGTACCCACAAATTCAAAAGGATGAAGTTGAAAGGCTTATCCGGGAAATGCTCGAATCCGGGATTATCAAACCGTCTTCTAGCCCCTTCTCAAGTCCGGTTTTACTCGTGAAAAAAAAGGATGGCTCGTGGAGGTTTTGTGTAGATTACCGGGCCCTCAACAAGGAAACCGTTCCGGATAAATATCCAATCACGGTTATTGATGAGCTATTAGACGAGTTACATGGAGCAACGGTTTTCTCCAAGCTCGATTTGAAATCCGGTTATCATCAAATCCGGGTTCGACCGAGCGATACTCACAAGACGGCTTTTCGGACACACGAGGGGCATTATGAGTTCCTCGTGATGCCTTTCGGCCTCACAAATGCGCCGACGACGTTTCAATCACTTATGAACAACGTTTTTCGGCCATATTTAAGGAAGTTCGTTTTGGTCTTTTTCGATGATATTTTAATATACAGTAAGGCAGTGGAAGAGCACGTCCATCATTTGCAGTTGGTCCTTCAAAAGTTGGAAGAAAATCAATTATATGCAAATTATAAGAAATGCGAATTTGGGAAGGGTGAAATCGCATATCTTGGTCATGTCATATCAAAGCAGGGAGTTTCCATGGATGGAGATAAAATTCGATCCATTGTAGAGTGGAAAACCCCGAGGAATCTCCGTGAGCTTAGGGGATTTTTGGGATTAACGGGTTATTATCGCAAGTTTGTCAAACACTATGCTCAGATTGCCGGCCCCCTCACGGCTCAATTGAAGAAAGAAAATTACGGATGGACGGGGGAAGCCACGGCAGCGTTCCAGAACCTGAAGACCGCCATGACCACAACCCCGGTCCTGGCTGTTCCTGATTTCCGCGAAGGTTTCGTGGTGAAAACCGACGCCTCCGGATACGGATTGGGGGCAGTAATGATGCAGCGAGATCGCCCAATTGCTTTCTTTAGTAAACTACTGGGGGTGCGAGCTCGGGCCAAATCGATTTATGAGAAGGAGTTAATGGCTATCTCATTGGTGGTGGCAAAGTGGCGCCATTATCTATTGGGTCGATCATTCGTTGTGCGCACGGATCAGCAGAGCCTCAAGTACTTAATTGAGCAGCGAGAAGTGAGTAGTGAATATCAGAGGTGGCTTCGGAAACTCGTGGGGTTCGATTTCACCATTCAGTATAAACCGGGCACCGCCAACAGGGTGGCTAATGCGTTGTCACGCAAGGATGAAGCTCTGGTTATCAAACCAGTGAAGGGGACGAAGAAAGAAGATGAAGTGGTTGAGTTTGGGTCTTTAGTTCACTCTTGTTATGTGGACTGGCTGATCTTGAGAAGGAGTTGGAGAATGATAAAGGATTGGGCCAGATTATGTTGGGCTTGAAACAAGGAAAAGAAGGGCCTAAAGGGTTTCACATCGAAGGGGATAGACTCTTTTATAAAGATCGTATTGTATTGCCTAACCATTCAAAATATATCGCTTCACTTTTGCAGGAGTATCACAGTACCCCCATTGGTGGCCATGACGGTGAGCTCAAGACCTATCTTCGGCTCACCGCCGATTGGTTTTGGGCCGGGATGAGAAAAGATGTGGCTAAATTTGTTCGGGAATGCGATGTTTGTCAATGAAGCAAGACTATCACTAAGAGCCCGTTAAGATTGCTCCAACCGCTCCCTATTCCCGAGGCCGTTTGGGAGGAAATTTCATTGGACTTCGTGGAGGGTCTTCCCTTATCCCGAGGAAGCGACGCGGTGTTAGTAGTGGTGGATCGCTTGTCGAAGTACGCCCATTTCATTGGTCTCAAACACCCCTTTAACGCCCTCAAAGTAGCAGATTTCTTTGTCAAAGAAGTTGTCCGACTTCATGGATTTCCGGCATCCATTGTGTCGGATCGAGATCGAGTCTTCATGAGTATATTCTGGAAGGAGTTGTTTCGATTGCAAGGAACGCATCTCCGAAGAAGCACGTCCTACCATCCTCAAACCGATGGTCAAACGGAGATCGTGAACAAGAGCCTGGAGATGTATTCGCGATGTTTCATTGCGGAAAAACCAAAAGAGTTGGGCTCGATGGCTCCCGTGGGCGGAGTATTCTTATAACACCTCACCCCACACCTCTACTAAGATGACACCTTTTCGAGTGGTTTGCGGGAGAGATCCACCCAAGCTGTGGCGTTTAGGGGCTGGTCAAACCATGGTTAGCAGTCTTGAAGAAATGTTAATGGAGAGGGATGCGATATTGGACGAGCTGCGATTGAATTTGAACCGAGCACAGCAAGTAATGAAGGGTTACGCGGACAAACAGAGGAGAGATGAGGAATTTTCGATTGGGGAAAGAGTGTTCCTTAAATTGCAACCTTATCGACAGAAATCACTTGCTAAGAGACCATTTGAGAAGTTGGCTGCCAGATTCTATGGGCCTTTTGAAATTTTGGAGCGCATTGGCAGAGTAGCTTATAAACTACAACTACCACCACATTGCAAGATCCATCCTGTCTTTCACATCTCACAACTCAAGCGAGCATTAGGGGACTCTACCTGCCAGCCCACGATTCCACCCCAACTCTCCCCCGACTTGGAATTGTTGGTGGAACCAGAAGAATTGCTTGAGGTGCGCACCATTAAGAAAGGTCCTGTTTTCGTGCTTGAAGTGCTGCTCACTTGGAAGGGTTTACCAGCGCATGATGCTACTTGGGAAGAGTTCGATGCAGTCAATGAGCGCTTTCCCTCCTTCCACCTTGAGGACAAGGTGAAGCTCAAAGGGGGGAGTGATGTTATGGAACGGGTCAATAAGGTCAACATCTCTGCTAGATTACTTGCAAATTACACCAACTACATTCAACTAAAGGCATTATATTATTTCTAAGTTATTTCATATGGCTTTCCAAACTCTGTTTTTTTCTGCTTTCTTTCCTTCTTTCGTTGCTATACTGTTATGGAACGGGTCAATAAGGTCAACAGAGCTATCGGACCAATTCAACCACCACTTTTGGTGTACTCCAGGCGCGCAAAACAGGGGCAGCAGCAAGGGTCAATTGTGAGAAGGAACAATGAACAACAGGACAAGGCCAATTAAGGGGAAGTTGAGGAAAGAAGGCAGCCTCCTTTAATCATAACCTTTGTGGGTTTCTATTTTAGTTAATTAATGTCACATGTTCTAGTTAAGTCTTGAGTATATGTATTGTAGTTAGGGAGCAGTAGAGACCATCCAGAAATTAGTGAAAACACATGAGAGACTTGTGGCCTAAAGCTACTGTGAGATTCATAACCTCAAGTTATGCCTATCCCTTGTAATTCAATCATCAGTGAATCAAATACTCAAGTTTAAGCCTTGGTTCTTGCAAATTGTCTTAAATTATAATTGCAGTAAGTTAGTCTATTACATATACATCCTCTTTTCCTACAGGTAGCTTTGATATATACCTGAAAAATCGTCTCTGACTTATTGAATCAGGGAATTCTTACGAATGAGACAAGATGCTTACGATGTGAGACTGTCACAGCAAGGGATGAAACCTTTTTTGACCTGAGCCTTGATATTGAGCAGAATAGTTCAATTACAAGCTGTCTAAAAAATTTTAGTTCGATCGAAACTTTGAATGCCGAGGACAAATTTTTTTGTGACAAATGTTGCAGGTAATTATTTGTCGTCTTGTTGGTGTTTTTTTTTTAATTTATTATTTTTTTTCCCGAGTGCCACTTTCAAATCTTAGTTGGATTTAATTTGAAATATGTTTGCCTTTGATTTTTTAATGAAGTGACTGAATTGACTTTCAGATCTTGTATTTGAAAAACTGTTAAAGGATATGATAACATGATTTCAGATATGCATCCGTTTTTGGAAAGGTCTATTCCATCCTTGTGCCTGTGGCTGAGACCCCTTTTGACTATGCGACTATAAACCACCCTAAGAGGCTAAAATCTTTTCTTCTCTTGAGCAATGTCTGAATTATTGCTCCAGTGATGGGAATATTCTCTGATTGCAATTGGACCTGGTTATTAGATAGGGTAGCCCAATGGGTATAAGATTTGGTGTGTGTATATATATATATATATATATATATATATATATATATAGGGAAATAGATAACTTAAAAAAAATATTACATGTAAAGTTTCATATTTACATATACTTTGTCTCTGTCCATTTTTGTCATTGCTCGTTTATTGGCCCACCCATTATCAACCACTGATCTACTTTGGCCCAATAAAACACGACCTTCTTTTGCCTAGACCTGTTCCAACTCGCCCAGTAACAGAGCTTCTAAAGATATTGAGACTTCTTTTTCTTCTTTCATTTTTTCCCTCTTTTCTCACTCACCAATTTGTCTGGCTCCAATGTGAGGCTTGGGCTTGCCTGGAAGCAATGGAATGGGCTCGAGCTAAAGGTAAGCAGCGGATCCTTATCCTCTCTGATTCTATTTCTCTCCTTAACAACCTACAAGACAGCATAGGAAAGGATGTTTCGATCAGTTGGATGATAAAGGAAATAAGGGAAGTGGGTGCTTTGTTCCAAAGATGCACAATTTTAAAGGTTCAGAGAGATCAAGTGCAAAGGGCAAACGACATAGCAAGGAGATGTCGGTTTACCCTCTCTAATTATGTGTAGTTTTAATGGTTTGCTAATTCGCTATTGTCATAAAAAAAAAAATAATAATAAAAAATAAAAATAAAAAAGAATGTCTGGCTCAAATTCTTATGATTTAGTTTGATTTTCCTTCAGTGTAGCTTTTGCCTTTTGGAATAGTTCCCCCTTCCATTTGCTTACCTTCTCAGTAGAATACAAAGGATTGAATGAAGACAATTACCAATTATGATTGCTAGAGGTTAAGTGCTGTTCTTTTGTTAAGGAGGGAGGGGTTTTTTTGTTGGTGCTGAATATCAAACTAGAATTTATGATGGAATTATTGAAGACATGGTTGCTAAAGGAAATTAGATTGAATCAATAAAAAAAAAAAAAAATAGTGGAGCTTCCGACATTAAGAATCTTAGGAAGCACCCTCAAAGTAGAAGTGTTAGAGGTAATCCGTGAAATAACTATCATTTAATCGTGAAATTTATATTTAAAAATAGGTTCACATTTTATTCCTCTTTGAAGTTTGATGTGCATTAAAATGGTGTTCTATGACCTGTGTAATGAAGAAATTTTGTGTATTAAATGGTGCCTTTGAGCTTCTTTTTAGTTTTATTAGAAGCTAATCCTTGGTAAATGATGGGGCAGTTTGCAAGAAGCGCAAAAGAGGATGAAGATTAAAAGGCCACCCCACATCCTAGTTATCCATTTGAAGAGGTTCAAGTTCATTGAACAGTTGAGTCGCTACAAGAAACTATCCTACCGTGTGGTATTTCCTCTTGAGCTTAAACTGAGTGATACTGTGGAAGATTCAGATAGAGAGTACTCCTTGTTTGCTGTTATTGTCCATGTGGGTAGTGGCCCTAATCATGGACACTATGTTAGCCTCGTCAAAAGTCATAATCACTGGTTATTCTTCGACGATGAGAATGTGGAAATGATTGATGAGTCTGCTGTCCAGACATTCTTTGGGTCAGCACAGGAGTACTCTAGTAACACAGACCATGGGTACATTTTGTTTTACGAGTCCCTTGGTCAAAGTAACACTAGCTAGGCACAATTACCCATCTAATAGAACATTTTTGTTTACAATTTTTTGATATTTTTTCAAATCCTTTCATTCCTTTGTTTCTACTACTTGTCTTCTACCATTGGGATTAGGGTGTCATTGGTTAGGTTGTGGAAATGTATACTGCTTAGGTGGTTGGCTTTTACTGGGCTTGTACAGGTTGACGTTGGAATATTGAAGACCCTCTGTCGAGTGAAAAGAAAATAGCAGTGTATATCGATGGTGGGAAATTCTTCCACAATTTTTGTTTGCCCTAATTATTTGGATGATAAGGTGTATTAGACCTTTTGCTGACGTTTCCATAGCAATCTATCTTTTGTTTGCTCAAGAATACGGAGTATAAGAATAGGTTTGTCAGATACTTTGCATATAATTCTGATACTGCTAGATATAGCTGAAGTTTGGGGGCGCCCCAGTTGCTCTTCTTGAGAAACAAGAAGAGTTTCTCTAGTGGCAATTGTGTAATAAAAATGCTTTGGTTATTGTAAACAATTGGTATTTTAATCTGAATAATTGCTGACTGTAAGTTCCACTGAAACTTGTGAAGTGGACCATTGTAGACGGCATTAGATTGTGAAGTGGGCTTAATTGATTATCTAAGTAAACTTATATCCAATACAACACCATTGGAACTTCATCCTCCACCGACAATTACACCATCACCTTCCTCTTTCATCTTTCACCTCCACCTCCACCGACAACAAACACCAACACCTTCCTCTTTCGGCACCGACAACAACCACCGACACCATCTTCTTCCTCTATCGTCTAAATCGTCTCCACCTACGACAACCACCACTATCAGTGGCGAACACAGGCGGCTTCGTCGCCAATTCAAAATCAAATTAAAAACCCTATAAGAAAGGGTAAAATTTATGGCATGGTCAACCCAAAGGGTAAAGGTGCAGTGACCGTCCTCCATTGAAGCTTCGCCGCCAAAGGTCAAATTCCTCCATTCAAACTCGAATGCCTCCATTGAATGGCGGCTTCGCCGCTGGAGTTTAAAGAAAACCCCTAAAGAAAATATTGAAATTAAGGGTATGGTTAACCCCTAATGGATAGGTGTTTGACGCTTGTGAACCTCTCTCCTCCATTGAAGCTGCTATATACACCACAACCGCTGCAAACAGTACTGCTCTGGGTTGTCTTTGTTTTGGGAAAAACAAAACTGGATCTCTATTCTCTATTCCAAGTTAAAACAGTTAACTTTCCGTCATAACAACAGTTGCCAGGGATAATATGCAGTCATAAGAAAAAGTCACTTATACCCTCATATTCCTGCGAAAACAGACCAATTTACCCCCTTGAGAAACACTCCTTGTTTCTCAAGAAGAGAAACTGGGAATTACCCCTAAAGTTTTCCGTCACTTGTTTGAATAATGGTAATTTTTCAAGCTTTTTACAAGTTTATCCAAAAAAAGAAACGTTGCGTTTCATAGTTTTCAAGACATCTGACTAAAAATCTCAATATATATGAGTAATGAGTTTATCAAATACTATTTACTGAATAATTATAGATTAGAGTTGGACATTAGTAACTATAGCCTTGGAAACAAAACAAAAAAAAAATCATTACCCTTCCCTTAATCACAGTGGTGTTCTTAAACTTTATAGGATAGTTAATATTCGTATAGTACTTCGTATGAAGTGTGTTGCTCAGAATATTCGTTCTCATCTTGATTATTTTAATGACATTGTTCCCAAGACCCATTCTCCTCTTTACCATAAAACCATCCAAGTAGCTTGGTCCCCTCCTGCCCCTGGTGTTTTCAAAATTAATTTTGATGGTTCTGTTTGTAATAACTTTGGGTCAGTCGGAGTTGTTATTAGAGATTATATAGGAAATAATGTTGTTAGTCGTGCTTATAATCTTGGTACCTCGACTCCTATTATTGCAGAAGCTACAACTCTCCGTAACAGTCTTCTCTTAGCTATAGAACATAATATACGAAAACTTTTTATTGAAGGTGATAACCTTTTAATTATAAATATTTTGCAGGATAAAGCACGTTGTCCTTGGAAAATTCATTTCCTAATGAATGACATCAAGAAGTTGTTGGCTCACTTTGAGGTTGTTTCTTCTTGCCATGTGTATCGAGAATCTAATCGTGCAGCAGATTATGTTGCAGCTATAGCCCATCAAATTTCAGGCTATGTAAACATTGACCCTAATGTAGATGCTAATTTTTCTTATTTTATTTCTTTAGATAAGTTAGGGTACAGTCTTGAGAGAAGACTTACCTAACTTTTGTATTTTTCTTATAAAAAAAAAATAAATAAAAAATGAAGTGTGTTGCTCATACTATACTTCGTGGTGGTGCAAGTCTTGCAATAAATAATTATGTAATAAACGCTCTCAATCCAAGTGAAATGGTGCCACTAGAGTTGTCAAAAGTTGATCCGATCCGAAATACTGACTCAAATCCGATTATTAACCGACCAATCTGAACCCGAAAAAATGGTGTACCAAACCCGACCTGACGCGACCTGAAACCAACTCTAGACCCGAGTTGACCCTAGTATGTGAGACCTGAAACCGAACATGAACTGATCTAGAGATGACCTGACTTGAATGTAACCCGTAAATTATTGACCTGAACCGAACCTGACTTGAACCGAAATTGACCCAAACCCGTTTTAACCCGTCAAAACTCGAATTTAACTGACTTGTTACAAACCTGACTTGAATTCAATCCGACCCGTTCCTAACCCGACCTGAATTTAACCCAACCTATTACAAACCCGACCTTCAATCAACCTGACTTGTTATTGACCTGACCCAAATTCAACCCGACTTGTTATTGACCCGACCCGAATTTTACCAGACCTATTACTAACCCGACCCAAAAATTCAACCCGATCTGTTACTAACCCGACTCGAAATCTATACGACTTGCTATTGACTCGACCTAAATTCAACCCAAATTGTTCCTGACTCGATTTCAAATCACATTAAATGTAATTTAGACCACCTTATTATCGTTGATCAAAGCATTTTGTCTAGGGAGATCAAGTCGGTCCAGGTCAGCAAAAGAAAGGAGCATCGTCCTCAAATTTAAGAGTTAAATATAGTATATATTTGTTATATGGTAAAAGGAGATAATAATCTTCCTAAATTATAAATTATAGTTCCCTAATAAAATGCCATATATATTATAGTCAAAGGAGATAATTAGCTTGATAAAAATGATAATTATCAATTTATAATTAGTTGAATCAGAATATGACTTGACTTGGAAATAACCTGACCTGATTGTAACCTGCAAATTATTGACTTGGACATAACCCGACTTGACTCCGAGAATGACCCGACTTGGAAATGACCCAACCTGATTATACCCCGCAAATTATTGACATGAACCGGACCCGACTAGAACCCGAGAATGGCCCGACTTGAAAAGACCCAACCTGATTATAACCCGCATATTATTGACTTGAACCAAACCCGAGAATGACCCGACCTGATTCTAACCCGCAAATTATTGACTTGAAATCCGATTCCAACCCGAGAATTACCCTAACGCGTGAATACCCGAATTTAACCCGACCTATTGTTCACCCGACCCAAATGTAAGCCGACCTGTTATTAACACGACCTAAATCCGATAAGAAGTATGACCTGACGTGACCCGACTTAAGAATGACCCACCCAAACCCGACCCGCATAGGTTATGGAATTAATCTGAATTGACTCCAACCGAGTTGACCCGACCCACACTTAACGACCCTAACCCGACCCGTTCACCTGAATTGACAGCTCTACCCGAAACCTCCAAAATTTCTCAGAAAACGTGGATACTAGTCTTCAATTTTGAATTTTTTGACTTTTTTACGCCCGAAAATAAAAATTGCGGAAATGTTTATCATGGTCCCTAATACCGTCCGGGAGTCCCATTGAGTTGGTGGAATCCAATTTGCCTTTAAACGACCAATTTACCGGTTTACAACTTGTATCGATTTCATTAACTCAATCCTACCACGAACATTGATGACTACAAATTATGATCATATCAGGTTTCAAATAGCAAAATATAACCCCGAGATAAATCTCTTAAAATTTCAAGACTTTTCAACACCAGGCCCCGAAACCTCCAAAATTTCTTAAAAAACGTGGATAATAGTCTTCAATTTTGGAGTTTTTTTTAACTTTTTCGCCCAGGAAAAAAAATTTGTCGAAATGTTTACCATGGTTCCTAATACCCTCAGATAGTCCAATTGGGTGGGTAGAACCATCCAATTTGTCTTTAAACGACAAATTTACCGATTTACAACTTACACCGATTTCATTAATTCAAACCTACCACGAACATTTATGACAACATATATAATCATATATGGTTCCAAACGGCATTATATGACACCAAGATGTATTCCATATAATTTCAAGACTTTTCGGAACCGAGTCCCGAAACTTTCAAAATTTCGCGAATTGCGTGGATATTAGTCTTCAATTTTGGAATTTTTTTTACTTTTTTCGCCCGAAAATAAAAATTGCCGAAATGTTTACCATGGTCCCTAATACCGTCCGAGAGTCCCATTGAGTGGGTGGAACCATCCAATTTGCCTTTAAACGACCAATTTACCGGTTTACAACTTGCACCAATTTCAATAACTCAAGCCTACCACGAACATTGATGACTACAAATAATGATCATGTAAAGTTCCAAACATCATTATATGACCCCGAGATGTATCCCCTAACATGTCAATACTTTTCGACACCGGGCCTCGATACCTCCAAAATTTCTCAAAAAACGTGGATATTAGTCTTCAATTTTGGAGTTTTTTTGACTTTTTTCGCCCGGAAAAAAAAAAATTGCTGAAATTTTTACCATGGTTCCTAATACGACCAATTTATCGATTTACAACTTGCACCGATTTCATTCATCCAAACCTACCACGAACATTTATGACAACATATAATAATCATATATGGTTCCAAACGGCATTATATGACACCAAGATGTATTCCATAGAATTTCAAGACTTTTCGACATCGCGTCCCGAAACCTTCAAATTATCACGAAAAGCGTGGATATTAGTCTTCAATTTTGGAATTTTTTTGACTTTTTTTAGCCTGAAAAAAAAATTGCCGAAATGTTTACTATGGTCCCTAATATCGTCCTAGAGTCCCATTAAGTGGGTGGAACCATCCAATTTTCCTTTAAACGACCAATTTATCGGTTTACAACTTGCACCGATTTCATTGACTCAAGCTTACCTCGAACATTGATGACTACAAATAATGATCATATAAGGTTCCAAAAATCAGCATTAT